GGGGTGGGATCTGCTAAAGACTAGCAGTCAGGGTACGCCATTATAATTTTGAAAAATATTCAAAGACTAGCCCTGCCCTTTTCTTTTCTGTGTATGGATGCTTGCTGGCTTTCCCAGGTCTTTCTGATGACTTCCCCAATGATACCTCTTCCACAGTGGCTGGACAGAATTGTTCCATCCTTTTAAAAAAGCTAGTAAGGATATATAAATAAGCAAGCAAACAAGACCCTGTAGAAATCCCACTATGGAATTAAAAACCATACTACCATTGAGATCTTAGGTCTTGTCCTCTGGAGAACTCTTATTAGTTTGGATATATATCTTGTTTGTTTATCTTGTAGTTTAAAATTTTCATTCTTGTGATATTTTTCTTGTATCTCATAATTAGCATGATATAAAGAAGTATCCATTGTTACTGAGGACTGGCAATTTTTTTATGCTGGTATTAATTTATCCTTGTTGATGGTGATATATAAGAAGAAGAAGAAGAGAAGTATTGATGTATACTATCAATCATATGAGGCATTTTATTTAGCTATGGCTCTGCTCTTCCTCTCACAAAACTAGCTGGTGAAAAGAAACATTTTTATTACTTACTGACTGATTAAAATGGTTTTAATAAATAACTTTTCTCATAGCCAGAGGAAACTGTGTTACATAAAATGCAATAAAAGATAAAGAGGGAGAAGATAAACCAAGTAAGTTGAAAGGCCTCTTTGCCATCTCCATCTGATATGGCCTCCTTAGTCTCAGACTAAGCATCATTTACTTATTTAAGGTCCAAGACCAAGTCTTAAAATTTAAAATACAGCACACCATTAATACATGCATACATAACAATACATACATACTGTATATGAAAGGAAGAAACCCTATAAAATTAACAATTCACTGAAGGCATCAAACGGTTTCTATAAGCTAAGGCTATAAGTAAACATTTTGCTATTGCCTTTGAAACACCTGGGTATTGCTCATTTAGTAAGAATACCTCAATCTCCTCATCATGAGTGGAGTTTATCAGATTCAAGAGAGAGTGTACTCTGATTGCCAATGAGAGTACAGTGGGCACTTAAAAAGGATGTGTGAAATGGACTCAACCTCTGTCTTTGAGCAAATATATACACGATCTTCATATGGAAGTTTGGCATATTGACCAGCTATCACTCTAGTAGGGAGAGCATCTATAGGGACTAGGAAGAAGACCCTTTGATGTAGATTTGTTATTTGCTTTTTCAGAGTAGATTGATGTATATCATATGGAATGAGATGTACCAATGAGATTCCCCAAATTATTTGTTTTGCTCAGAATCTTAACCAACATTATCTTGACTGGGCCTCAAATGAGATGAAACTTAGCTCTAATCTGGTAATGGCATTAGAAGTTGAATAAGGAGTATGTGCTATTGATTTTAAGAATGTTGTTTGTATTCATTGAAGGACTGAGAAGTTTTTGTAAATACACATCTGAGAGCCATACAGCATTATGCCAAGGACTTTGATCGTGAATAATTTAATTGCTGCGGAGACAAAGTTGTTCCCCCACCAACTAACAGATTTGTTGATAGCTAGAGATACTTTTTAAGCTTTCATAGCTAACTCTCTTATTTCATGACCCCAACATGTAGAAGATTGAAAATGAATAATTAGGTATTTAAATTATTTCACCTGCTCAGCGGGTCTGCTGTTAACTGACCACCTTAATGGATTACCAGAACATCTTCAGGAAAAGAACAAAATTTTTGTTTTTTGGTAGTTTATTTCAAGGCATTCTCTAGCACAGTTGCATTGAAAGTTCCTTGAGACCTCTATGTAGCCGAATTTTTGAAACCAAAAAAATAGCTGCATCCGCATACAGAAGAATTTGAATTGGACAGTGAGAGAGGGATGAAGGATGGAGGTCTGAATTGGTAAAAGCTACAACAGTATCGTTAATGTAAAGGTTAAGCAGTATGGGGGCTAATATACATCCTTGCTTAACCCCTTTATGAATGGGGATAAGCTCTGTTAGGTCACCAAAACGAATGCCTTTAACTTGCGTAGTGGAATTGCAGTGTAACTGAATAATCAATTTAAGCAGGTGACAATCAGTCAATGAGTTAGCTGTTTCTTCCAAAGTTTTTCTCGGGGAATGGAGTCAAAAGCTGCCTTATTAATGTTGTCCAAAATTATATCCAACCTATAGCTCCTCCATCTTTACATCAACCAGTTAGGAGATCTAAGCCATGGTTTGATAAAGAATGTGCCTTGGTTAAAACCAGGTAACACAAGTATATAAGAGGGCAATAATCTCTACTCACGTGAACACTTTTATAGGCACAAAAGGAGATATCAGAACTACACGTCATATATACACTCACATAAACATACACATATACATATACAGTATATGAATAAGAGAGTCAAAGTAATGAAAATGTACTATTTTTAGTTTACCTTTATTTTCCTTAGCTTTTAATACTTAGATTGTGGACCCTCTGGAGATAGTGATGGACATAGTTGAAAATGATGTAAGGTTACTGAGTGTACAGGATAGAGACTGCCCACTTTTGGCCTGGAAAACACAGCAGTTTTGAGAGCTCTGTCTAGCGAGAGGAAGAATCCAGATTTCACAGAAAGTAATTTCCTCTCTTTTCTTCCCCATTTTCTGGATACAGAAAAGCACTACATTTGCTCATGAGAGCTAAAATCACGGGATATGGAGATGGTGGGAGCATTTTTTTAGTTTCTTACACCCATATTTATTATAGCATCACTGCCTTGTACTAGAGCAGGTCATTGCCCAAATGTTGTTGATGTGGCAGTCATGGTAACAGACAACAGTCTGGAAGGCCCTGTCAATCATACTCTCTTATATCATGTCAGAAAAATGTTCGGCATTGCAAGCGCCAGTTCTACAAATCCTGTCTACTCTTTTAGTGCCATCTCTGCTGTTATGGCATCGAAATTAACCCTCTGTGCCAAGGAAAGCCCATTAAGACAGCCAAATTAATACACCTTTCCATACACCTGATCTATTGCAACTCCCTCAGTTGCTCAAGAAAATTGTTAGATTTGGTCATAGCCAGTTATTTCTGTTTGATCAAATATTCTTGCTGAATTCTTATCTCCTTTTCATTTAATTCTGAAATCAGTGTGGGCAGGGATTCATCTGTATGAATGAACTGTCTGGAGTGCAAGTATTCCTGCATGAAAAGAGCATACATGTTTGTCTTGAGGGTCTCACTGTTTCTGTTGCTGGATCTTCACAGACCTTTGAAAAATAGGGCTCTTGGTAACAACAGCAAGTGTTTGCAATTAGCTTTGCCATATGGTGGGGTTTGTTTTCAGCCTCTTCCAGGCAGAATAGGAGCCAAATACCTGGCATAGCACAATATCCAGTGTGATGTTAGCTCATTTTACAAAAAGCACACTTGTCAGAGTTAAATGGTGATCCAAAAAGTCAGCAGAGGAATCTCCCACCCATCTGAAGATCAAGACCTTTCTAATACTCCCAGTATTGTGTTGCTCACTGTAGTCTCTGTTGCTGGATTTGACCTCCCCTCCTCTGACTATCCATGGCTAAAACTGCAAGATTTCTTTTGGCTTGGCTGTGTTTGGGATGCAGTACAGTTCACTGCCTTGAGGCTGCTGCATTTTCATTGCTTTTTTTGTTCTAAAATGGACCTGTGGTCTAAAATGGACGTGTGGTCCATTTCTCAGAGACCAGTTTTATAATAAACAATAGAAATGAAGGACTAAAACAACCAAAAACAACCAGAGGGGAAGATGAGGTTATCTTTTTGATGGCACAGAATTATTAGATTACTAGTGTATTTGAGCTGAACTTTTAAAATCAGTTTGGGAGGTGTAAGAATATGTTCTCCAAGTACACGTGTAGGCATGTGGCGAATTCTAATATTTTTCAAAGATCATAAAGCAATTGAGCTTTTTGATTCTCTTCTCCCAACAATAAAGATGTCATGGAAATGTATTAGAATTTACTAAGGTTCTCTAAAATCTGGTTTGGTGGATTCTCTCAGTTTTGTTTCCCCTCCCCTCTCATCAAATGTCACCTGCTAATGGGAAAACATCCAACAATCACTCCCCTTAATACAAGCTGAGGCTGGGGGAACAAGTAAATTTTGTCAGATGGCTAGACCCGCCAGGGGACATGGGCAGCATACAAATTTAATAAATAAACAAACAAACCAGTAAGTATAGAGAGCTGTAAACATTTGTCCTGCTTTGGTACAAGTATTCTTCATGGGTATTTAATGGGTTCATCAGCTGATAATTGTGCTTCCATTGAAAGGAGGTGTGAAACACTTGTGCTAAACCAGAGCTGATATTCAGGCTTTTTCTGGACACAGGTTTAGTCCTATTCCAGAAGAGTGTTAACCTCAAACTAAAAAGCAGCCCAAACAGTTCCACACAGTTACTGAGAGCCTTGCACCATGAAGCAGTAGATAAATCATGGTCTCTGTCTCTTATCATTGCAGCTCCCCTGCTTTTCAGGCTGATCCTGATCTTTGAGCCAGAGATTGGCTTGGTTCTTTCAAATTGGCCTCTCCCATTGAAAGAACCATGGTCTTCCCATCACTTGAAGCAAAAGGGCTCTGGAAGACAGTGCTTGGGGGCTAAAGGGAGGGGGTGTGTCAGTAGGTGCTCGGCTGATCCCAACCCCTTACAGTATTTGACTCTGATGCTAACCAAATGTTGGGAAAGAACATTGGAACTGCCATGGCTTGTGGCTGCTTCATTGAAGGCAATGTCATAAGGATATGGCAGAAAAACGAGGTTGCCAGGACATGTGTATGGTTGGGACAATTACAGATTTCCAATACAACAAAATGGGAATTCAAACAATTCCTTATTTCATTGCCAAGATGAGTGCTTACCTCAGTGGTGCATTATAGCAATAAAGCCATCAACACCAGGCTCATTGATTGCCTAAGTGATCAACATACTCTAGGCACAATTCTGACCTATCTGCTTTGGGCTTTTTACGGGACAGGATTTTTGCAGTGAAGTGCCACAACTGTTTGGAAGCAATTACACCCAGCGAGTTTGTTATGCGAGCTCAGAAAAGTGTGTACCACGTGGGCTGCTTCTGCTGTTGTGTCTGTGAGAAACAGCTTCAGAAGGGAGATGAATTTGTCCTTAAGGATGGCCAGCTACTGTGCAGGAACGACTATGAGAAGGAACGTGAAAGGCTCAGCATCGGGAGTCCAGCCCCATCAGATTCTGGTAAGGCAGAACACTCATTTTGTTGTGAGCCATTGATGAGGCAGCAAGGTTTCTTGTTAGTATCATGGTATTTATAAGGTATCAGTATTTACCAGGAATAGCTGTACCTGAGGTTAAAAATCTCACCATGCTATGAAAATATGATTTCTTTATTATTAGGATGTTCAGTTTATATTATTCCAGGCATTTGAGGAAAGGCAACAATACTTAAAAAGTAATAAAACCAATAGAATAAAATCTGCATATGGTTAAAATAATTCTTTATCTATTTAATCCATCAATAATTCCAAACATTCTAGGGTCCAGCTTTGGCTGGTAATAAAGCAACTTCTCATTCATGCCTGAATGCCTCTTGTAGAACATAATGTATGAGAAAAGACTTCCACTTAGCTTCCTTTCTTGCTTCTTAGTTTTCTGTGGGCAGGGAACTGGTGGGCAGGGAACGGGGAAAGAGTGCTGGATTCTATGAAATGCTATGGATTCTGTAGTCTGCAAAATTTAAGGGTGAATATAGGTGCAAGATGTTCTACCATGATCCCACATGCAATTAATTAATTTAGCTTCTGTTTAGTTTCCTCTTATACTACATATTCCACTTTCATGTCATTTGGTACTTAAACTTTATCCTACATTAGTTTTCTGTTTTAAATTATTTAAAGGCTTTTTTTTTTACATTAAAAAAAAATATTCCTCAAATAACATTCTCACCCTCCTTTTTTCTCTACAGTTTGCTAGAATTTCTGCTCTTGGTTCTGATCTTATAGGCAAGACTTTAGTTCCTCAAAGTCATATTTCTAGCGGCAAGTTATCAGAGGTAGCTAAAATAACCTTCTTTGGTTACTTTTTTGTTTCTTCCCACCTCTCAAGACCATCTTCAGTTTTGGTAAGGGGCAAAATACTGTAAGTAAAAATCAAGTTTACATGGCCAGTTAGCATAGCAGTTATGATGTTGGACTAGGACTGTGGAGACCTAGGATCACGTCTGTCCTCAACCATGAAAGCTCACAACATAATTTTGGGCCAGTCAATTTCTCTCAAGATCCTTCCTTACAAGGATATTGTTGTGTGGATAAGATGAATGGTGGTCACCACTTAAGCTGGTTTGAGTTTGTGGAAAAAGAATGACATAGATCTAACACACATGCACAAACTTCAAGAGCAAAAAACACTGAGCCGAAGGAAAAAGGAAGTTCGGTTTAACAAAATGTCCTTTAGATTCTTGGACTAATCAGATATAGTTTCATTATGCCCTTGTTCCACTGGATAACTCATTCTTTTCTGTGCAGTGCTGGAAGGAATAGGCCTCTGAGTCTGGAGGTAGCACCCCATTACCTCTCTGTTAATTCCAGATTAGCATTGTCTGTATTTGCAAGTAGCCTTGAAGGTGAGAGATGCTTGTGCACAAGCTTGAGATGCTTGTGTTGAGCATTTCAATCTCTTGCAAGAAGAATCTGACATAGAGCTGCCTTCCAGTTCAAGGGTCCTTAGTGATCGGACTTGGTGTCAAAGGTTGGCCAGGTCCAATATCTCTGCATCTCCTATTATTGGCTGTGATCCTCTTGACTTTCCTGTTTCAACCCCATGTCGGAGTTCTGGCTCTGGTTTAGGACCAAAACAGGTGAAGGGGGGAAAACAGGAATGGGTAAGAAGATACATGTTCTTTTTTTAACAGCTGCAAAGTAAAAACTGGGTCTCATACCCAACAATCTAAAGAGGCTGTCTAGCAAAGCTGGAACCATTTTAAACAAAGAGTAGATATAGGTAGAATTGGACTCTCATTCTCATTTTTAGATGGGTTGTGTTACACTACTTGCTTTGGAAATGCCAGTTTTAACAGGAATGCATTATTTGAAAATAATAGTCAGAATAACAGAATCAGTAAAATGCTGCCATCTCCTGGCAAATATGTAGTTTTGTGGCTATCAAAATAAAGTAATAGGATACATAAAAGAAAAAACATGTTCAATTGAAAAAACGCAATGACTTTGTCCCAGTGCCTGCTGAGGCTCTTTTAATTGCTAGCAGCTTGGTTTGCAAAAGTTATTTAAATAATTTTGCATACATTGTACTCCAAGCCATCTCTTGTCAACACTGAATAGAACATCATTGCATCCTACTTGTTCACTCTAATATCTTATTACTACATTGGCCTTTCAGACCAGCATTAATATTCCTGTGTCATATTTAGGTAAAGGGTTTTCCTAATGATACAACCACTTATCCATTACTCATTATTTGCCATTTTATATAAAATCCATCCAGACTTGATTATCCTACTTTGCCAGTGTCAGTGCAAAAAACAACTTTCCACAATAGTTGAACAAGGGGTCTCTCATATCTGTGTTTGTGTTCAGAGACAATATTGTTGTTATAATATAAACAACCATCAATCCCCATCATTCCCTGCTTCAGTGGGCATCTGGCCACTGCTGAAGACCAGCCCACTAGATAGAATTTTGGTCTGATTTTGTACAGTGTCTTTCATTCCAATGTATGTCATTGTTACCAATTTGATACTCTTTACTTAAAATATCTCACTGGGTTTGGAAACTGCTTGCATATAATTTAACAAATCCTAAAGCACTACAGTTCTAAACTGAAAGCCTCTTGGTGTTTTCCACATTGCTGGGCAAGGCCCAGCATCTACAAGGGTTGTCCTAATTTGTTGAACACTCTGTTGCGAGCATATTTAGCTTAGCAGCAGAAGTAGATTTTAACCCTGAACCAACTAAGAATGACAAATATCTGCGAGCAAGAACGGACCTTCCCCAGGATGTGTAGTTAGTTTCACCAGGCTGTCAGATTTCAGCCGGTTCCTGCTTAGTCAGCATCTATCTTTATAGTCCCATTTAGAAATATAAGGGATCAAGTAGCAGAATGCAAACTCAGGACCATCTTTGTGAGAAAATGAAGATAAAGCACAAAATACTGGAAGCCATATGTTGTCCATAATCTGTAAAGCCCCTCGTTCAATGATTCCCTTCTCTGACCCCCAGTGGCCAAGCCTAAGTAAACAGAGGGCTGTGAAAGAGGAGCCTCCTTTCCAATTAAAAGTGTACTAACATCTCTCCTTTCCCTAATTCCCTCAAACCAAAGAATTTTTTCATCTTTTTCATGAAACCAGTTTTTCATCGCTTTCCCCCGTTGAGTCTTAAGGTTGCCCAGAGGTCAGTACAGACAATATACACCGCCTGTCGTCCTTTCCCATGTGACATAAGGAGGAGTTTTAAAGATTAATTAATTCCTACCCTGTTTGTGGAGGCTTGAAAGGCAGAGTTAATTAAAAGCACTGCCATGTTAAAGCAGAATCAACTTTCCATCGTTTGGGGGGATTTGGTGAGCAGGTGTTTGGGGGTGTTGAAGCCACTTTTCTTTCTTGGGACAGGATTCCCCCAGCCTTCTCTCAGCTATTTTTCCTATCAATCATTTCAAAGCTTTCTCTGTTTCATGCCTCAAATGCAGCCAGAGGTGGGAAATATTTTATCACCCTGATTCTCTGAGTTGGGCTTTGCCAGTCTTGCATTTTCCAACTCTCAACAATCCCCCAGGCTGGTTGGGAGTGGTGGGAATTCCAGATCAACACAGCTGGGGGGTAGCAAGTTGGAGAAAGGAAACAGGATTTCCCGTCAGGAGTGAAGTTCCATTTTAAAACATACTGAAGACAAGGAAGTGCTTATTTTCTCTACTTTAAAATCTGGTACCATTGTAGGCTCTAAAACAGCTACACATCCTAGCTAAGCCCCAGAAACACATCCACAAACTGGCAAATGGCTACAAGAGTTTAAAAAGCTAAATGACCCTAAATGAGATATCTGTATGCCAATAGGAGAGGATGAACTTCCTATCCACAGCCACTTGCTTCAGAAAATTCTCCCTGCCTTGCATTGGGGTTTTTAAAAGATGGAGGGGAGAACCTTGATTTCATTGGAGTTCCTTTTTTAAAAAAGTTTTCACATGCTTATACACCTCTAAACTCAAATTAGAAGAGCAACTGCACCCTGTGTATTTAACATAGCATGAGACTTAATCTTAAATTATCACTTATCTGCATTCACCAAATGTAGTATATCCAGCTATTCCTGGCAGGGCTACCATGTAATTCTTCAAGATGAAGAATCAGAAGAGAAAAGCCAGTAATTCCTTTTGCTTCCAGTTGCCTGATGTTATTCTGTGTTCTGCATTCAAAATAAATTGAATGTCTGAAAACACATTCAGGCAAACAACAGACATGCAAAGTATCTGAGCATCTTCTTTTAATTCAGGAAAAAGCTATTTTTAAATTAGAACAATAATCTCATGATGCCAATGCTTTCATATATTCTGTCATTTTTCCAGTTGTATTTTGGATTCCATGCAGACTTTGTCTACATAGACCTAAGGTGATACTAACATGGTTCAATGAAATGTACCCAATTTAGATTGCAAGTTGGAATTACAGTTTGAATGCCCTCATGTGTTTGTTTAAAACTACACTCTCTGAATGTAAAAAACAGTCACAGCACATAATGATTTAGGGCAGACATTCTTCTCCAAGCCATGCTTATTTTCCATGTGCAAAACTAAATATTTGCTGGTGTTCAGTTGCTTCCAACTCTTGGTGACCCAATGGGCATAGTTCCTCCAGGATTGTCATGAACTTCTTTGAGTTCATATAAGCTCATGCTTGAGTCATCAACAACAGTATCCAGTGTGAGATTTGCCCCGTTCGACAGAGAAACTCTCGTG